TGCTAGACTGGTCTTGTGACCCTTTGTTCTCCCCCACTTTGCCTATGGGGGTGTGTTAAACTGTATTATGCTTGTAGGCTGTAGTGGGGTAGCCAATATGGGGTACAACCCCAACTAGGGTTTCATATTTGTACCCAAACTTCTGTTAGTTCATTCATTCTTGCCTAGTTATTCTGAGACATTATACGTACTATTTTGTTGTTTACATGTGCTTACGACAGATCCTCTGCCATTTCCGCACGACTCAGGGGAGGTGAGTTTCGTTGAACGTTATGAATACTGTGATCATTGTGGTTGTCATGATTCTATATCTCATAAGTACTATTCACGTTTGTTAAACGTGCTTCATATGCAGGAATCTGTAGAGGTCAAACTCAGATGGGTTGATGCTGAGACTCAAGCAGGACGTCACCGAGTCGATTTTCATGTGAAAATCGTAGTGATTGGCAGGAAGAATGGCTTCACGAAGGACGATGTGAAATTTGTTCCTGGGAAGTTCTATATTTTTAATGAGGATTTCACTGTGACAGAGGTGGTCATCTGGCCACAATCCAGGGGGTCTGGTCGATGTGATGTGGATGCTGTGAATGAGTTCTTGATGAGGCTTTCCATTGGGAAAGTCTATGAAGTCCATCGCACCGTCGGTGCTCGCGCACCCCCCACCTGGTAAGATTCGTCTAGACTTGTCTATGTGATTCGATACGTGTTCGTTTTACAATTTATGCACTGAATACGTACAGGATTCTGGTTGGAGGTCTTCGCACGCAACTCAACTGGAAGCATCGGTGCTCACATCTGATCGAGGCCAGCGGGTCTCCTCGGCTGAACGTGGGAAACTTGCCTACTCCCACGCTTTTGAGCTTCTATGGTGCTGAGGATAAGTCTAGGGTAAGAATTACGACGACATTTGTTACGTCTTTTTACGTATGATTGTCAAATTGTAGTTGTCATTTACTTTTATAATTTGTTGCCTCTATTCTACCCTAATTTATTCATGCCACACATTGTAATAGACATTCATGGTACGTCTCCCTGCATGTGTCCTATGTTTTCACTTCAGTTGTATCATTCATATCTGTTATTTCCAGATCCCTTGCATTTCTGTCAGGCTCAAGATCTCGTCTTTCGAGCCGAACCGCGCCCTCCCCAAGTTCACGGCTGGCATCCATGATTCAACGATGAAGAGCGCTTTGATAGCGCTCGGGGATGCCGCCATCAGGTTCAACTCCAGCTGTGAGCGATATTTTGCAGATCACCCCGATGCTAGCGATGTTCCTGTCTTCATCAGCAACGTGTATCTCAAATCAGCAGCTTTTACGACGACAGTGCCTTCGGACATTGTCATTCTCGATCCTGTTCCAGCATCCGTCACAACGGATGCACCCGTCACCGAGCTACAAGACGTTGGTCTTGTGAGCTTGTAAGTTATCAAAATTTGCACAATTGAGCTGTTAGTAGCGAACATGAATTTCATTAGCAATTTTTTGTTTTGAATGATCAGGATGTCTCATGTGGACACATTGGTGATGGTAACAAACGAAGAGAAGATAGCAACACTTGCAGCAGACCTCAGAGACCCAGTGCACGACAGTCGAGTTGTCTGCGCTGCTGGTGCAGGAGATTCCATTTGCGGAATGCCTGTTTTCACCTCCGCGGCTTCGGGGGTCCACAGATGTCGCGTTCACAGAGCGACATCAATCCGCACGTTTGATAACGTGACAGCGACTCTTGTTGTTCACGAGAGTGGTAAGCATCATGTCTATCATTTCTATGTTGGTGTCTCTTATGTTTTACACATTATTTTAATATCATTTTCTTTATGTTTCATTCTCAGATTCGTTCACGACGCAGGCTCAGGGATTGGAGATTCAGCCTGAAATCTTGGGACGACTGTTCCCAAGGTTTCAGGTTTCGAATTTCCATTCCATGACACTGGGCGAGCAGCAAGATGCATTGGGCGCGCTTCAAGGCCAGTGGCATGTGAAGGTATGGGAGTTTAGTTGTGAGTCTTTAATATCTTTACTAAGATTTTTGTGTACCTGTTAAAAGCGCACTTTAGTATGTTTTTTGGATGGTTCTTGATAGTTCTGTAACTCAAGTTATTATACATGTATCTTTCATTGTTATTGAAGGTTCACTTCCGTCCAGAAGGAGGACGCGTGAGCAAGACCATCTTGGACATCTCGACGATCACGCAGTCGAGCGACGCTCCGGCGAGCTTTGACACATCGAGCACACCGATTTCGTCAACACCCGCCAAAAGGAGACATGACGTGAGCACGTATTTTATTGTGATTATGTACATATACTCATTGTAAATGTAGTTTGATTGATGTATATTATTTTCCTTATACTTGAAAATTGCTCCTTTTTTTTTGCAGCAATGGTGAAGCGTTGAGCGATTCGGAACAACGGAGAAGATGCTCACAGGGGTTTATGAAGTTAATTTCGATGGGTTGACTATTATATATTTGAACAGATTATGAAAACGAGTACAGACTTACGCGAGCGTGAGAACAATGAGTGTGAGAGGGATGACATGTGTTAATAGGTCACTGTTTCTTTAATTGGTGTGGGTATGCATTGTCTTGTGTGCGCGTGTGCTTTCATTCATGTTTCCATTGCATTAATAACGCATGTCTGTGGGTTTTAAAAATTAGGATCAAACCATCATTTCCGAGAAGGTTCTTTGCCCACTCAGTGAGTGTGTTCATTTGAACTGGATTTGATGGAATTGACCTTTTTTTTAGATCACACAGATTGTGTTATTTCATGTGGCAGTCGGATGATTCAAACGCTAGGCTATTGACTTCCCCCCCATGCTAGGCAGGGGATGCGGTAGCCTAGTGTATGGGTCAATCAACTATCACGCATTTTCATCATAATACGCATTTACATGATTGGTATAGTATATATAAGTACATAATACGCATACCACTACAGCATATGCATCAAATTTATGCATTTCCATTCCATGTTAGGCTTACTATATCCATCGTACCATCTGCATGTCAATTCCATTTATGCACGGCAGAATACTTCTGGATATGCATTACGGATTACGGATTACATACTGCGCATACCAATACAGCATATGAATCATATCTATGCATTTCCATTCAATGTTTCGTTTACTATATCCATCGTACCGTCTGCATGGCAGTTTTATTTATGCACGGCAGAATACTTCTGCGTATGTATTACGGAATTAACAGCCGCATGCTTACCATATCATCATTTTTTCACTAAATTCATCTATATGAAGAGCCAGAGCAATTAATAAAAATGAAAAGAATATACTACCACACATCGTCATGAACTGTTACCGCAAATGATTAGCAAACATTTATCTTTTTTTTTTCATTTCAATTATAGGTGATGAAAAAAAATTCGTACATAACGAATGTAATAGGTTGCTTCGCAACCCAAAAAAGTACAAGAGATAGAATGGTAAAGAATACCAGAAACACGAGAGAAAAAATAAAGCTAAATCGAAAGCAAATTAGAGAAGGCTAACGCACATCAAGGTACGGCCTATCATCCAGGAGCCCATCCATTAGAGCCACTCCAAGCCACTCAGCACCACTCAGCACCACTTAGAGCCACTCAGAGCCACTGAGAGCGGACTGGCAAGTCAGAGAGCCAGTCTCGTTATGCAAGCCTCAGCCATGCAGCAGTACAGAAGAGCTTCCCCTGAGTTTGACTCGAATTTCATCCGGGGCACATGCTCCACATGCTCTACCCTCAGTCCACTCCACCCTCTAATCAGCCCAACCACCCAGTGCCCACCTGCATGTGCCGCTCAATGCAGCCCCTTGAAGCAAGTCACAGCCCTGAAGCACCTCAGACTAGCTTCCTCTGAGTCGACTGGAAAGTCCACCCAAGCAACCATGGGTCCATCCACCCAGAGCCGCTCAACACAACCTTTCCCTGCAAGTCGCAGCCTTGCAATACCACAGACGCTCTTATTGCAGCGCCTTGATACTAGACCACATGGCTTGAAAAGTCCACCCAAGAAACCACTGGCTCATCCAGCCAGCACCTCTCAACACAACCTTTCCCTGCAAGCCGCAGCCGCCCCAACCAAAGCTGCACAGAACCCATCAGCTTCCTCTGAGTTGACTCAAAACCCAGCACTCCTGCTCGGTACAGCCTCTTACGACAAGTCGCGGCCCCGCAGTAGCACAGAAGCTTCTTCACGTTCCCATTGCCGTCCGTCACACTATCCACCTGGTACCCATAGTCATACGCAAAGAGCATGATGGGTGGCAGGCGGTGGTCGTGGTGGTCGTAGAAACACGTCGAAGAGACCACGTCGAAGAGACCACGTTGAAGAGAACACGCACTGCACGAAGAGATTGGGGTTGCAGCTGTGGTTGATGCAGCGGCACTGCTCAATCCACTCGTCCACCCACCCACCCAGCACCACTGCTTAATACAGCCTCTTCCTGCAACCAGCAGCCCCGCAGTAACAGAGCAGCTTCTTCACATTCCCGTGTTCATCCATCACACTGTCCACCTGGTACCCGTAGTCATACGTGAGCTCTCTCAGCGGCGGGATGTTATCGGACGCAAAGAGCATGATGTGCGGCAGGCGGTGGTCGTGGTGGTCGAAGAAACACGTCGAAGAGAACACGCACTGCACAAAGAGGTTCAGGGAGTTGTGTTGCCCAAACAACCCATCCATCCACTCTCCCGCTCCCAGCACTGTGCTGCTTAATACAGCCGCTTCCGGCAACCAGCGGCCCCGCAGTAACAGAGCAGCTTCTTCACATTCCCGTGTTCATCCATCACACTGTCCACCTGGTACCCGTAGTCATACGTGAGCTCTCTCAGCGGCGGGATGTTATCGGACGCAAAGAGCATGATGTGCGGCAGGCGGTGGTCGTGGTGGTCGAAGAATCACGACAAAGAGAACATGAACTGCACAAAGAGGTTCAGGGAGTTGTGTTGCCCAAACAACCCATCCATCCACTCTCCCGCTCCCAGCACTGTGCTGCTTAATACAGCCGCTTCCGGCAACCGGCGGCCCCGCAGTAACACAGCAGCTTCTTCACGTTTCCGTTTTCATCCATCACACTGTCCACCTGGTACCCGTAGTCATACGTGAGCTCTCTGAGAGGTGGGATGTTGTCGGAAGCAAAGAGCATGATGTGTGGCAGGCGGTGGTCGTGGTGGTCGTAGAACACGTTCTGCACGAACAGGTTCGGGTTGCAGCTGTGGTTGATGAACCGCGCCACGTTACCCATGCGCTTGGCGTCCAGACAGAAATGGATGTCGTCGTGCGGCGCTGCCGCTGCTGCCGGTGCTGCTGCTGCTGCTGGCGCTGCTGCTGCTGGTGCTGGTGGTGCTCTTGTGTTACGTGAACGCTCACCGCTCACACTGCCCCCATGCCTCCCATGCTGCCTGGTTGACCCATGCGGCAACTCTGAACCCCTGTCATGCCTCGTTGACTCATGAGTATCATGTAACGCGTCGGATCCATGAGGTAACGAGTCATGTGATCCCCTGTGATGCCTGCTTGATTCATGCCCACGAGCTCGTTTGCCATGGTCCCCTTCACCCCCACCATATCCACCACCACCACTATCATCACCACCATGACAACCACGACCATCTCCTGAACGCCCTCTCCTGTCCCTGTTCGCCTCCCTGCCCTCCTCTCTCTCCTCTCTCCTGCCCTCTCCCATTCGCGCTTTTCGCTCCCGCGTGCTCTCCCTTCGCACCCCACCCGCCAACCCCTCCTCTTCCTCCTCCTCTTCCTCATCCATACCACCAGCACCACCAGCAGCAGCAGCAGCAGCACTAGCCCCACCACTCCCAAGAATACCCGACACATCCCCCCACCGCTCCTGAATCCCTCGAGCGAGATCCAAATCAAAAAGATACTCATCGTTCCCTCTCAGCGTTTCCGCATCATCGTCCCTCAAAAGATCCCCAGTGTACTCACACACAAAGTGCCCTGCAGGTATCGCGTCCCACGACCGCACCCCCCACCCCTTGTTTTCTGTTTTAAACACCTCCAAACGCACCTGCACCCCCTTCTGGCTCACCCTGTTGATACACCCGCTGCCGCTGCTGCTGCTGCTGCTGCTGCTACCAGCGTTGCTGCGACCGGTGCAGGAGCAGGCACACTGCGGGCCGCACTCGTATATGATCTGCTGGGCTTCTATCAGGCCCCCTTCGCGTGTGAAAGGCAGCATGCCTCCGTTCAGCTGAGCACACTCACACGCAGTAGCGTCCACGCACCCGTCCGTGCAAGAACAGCCCAGCACCAGCGGCTGCAGATCAATCGCTGCTGCAGCAGCAGCAGCGGCGGCAGCAGCAGCAGCAGCAGCATCACCACCAGCAGCGGCAGCCTCAGCCGCTTCTCGCCTCACGAGTTTCCTCAGAGCCTCCGCGTGGTTCATACTTCTGATGTACTGAAACGCAGGAGGAGGCACAGGCTGCTTATCCACCGTGTTCACCGCACACACCGGCCGACTCTCCTTCCCATGAGAAATATCCTCGGCCACCACCCCCCTCCTGTCCTTCGACTTCGTCCCGCTTTTCAGCGACGCTCGGACAAACTCCACGGTTGGAGTTTGCAGTGCCGGCTGACCTTCCTCCCTCTCCATCCGGAATTTGAAGATCATGTGGCCGGAATCCCCCGGGATATGCTCGCTGCGCGCGACTCGGTATAAGCCGTCGTAAGTGTAGACCATTTTGGTGTAGCTCGCTGGTTCTTTCACCCCACGGATTACTCTCACGGGCAGCTTCAACTTTTCGCTGTTGACCAGAGCGAGATTCCCCCGCTCCAACTGCTGGTCCTTCAGCTGCGTCCGATCCCCGCGGTAATTATTTCCGCCCTGCCCGGTGTAATCAAACCACTGCCCGTTATCCTCATCGTCCTCATACCCACCCGATAGCACCACACAAGACGCTACCTCCACTCCCCACTGGTTCGCCCCAGAAGGAGAATAGTCTATACCCCCTTGCGCCTGGAGATTAACTCCCACGACCGCCATCTCCTGCCTACTAAAGAACTGAAACCCTACCGGAACGCCCGGAACATGGCCTATGACGCGCGCCTTTTCGTTGTTGATCACTAAACCTTGCTTCCGCATGGTTTTCCCTGCGGAGAGATCCGGCCGCTTGTTGTACAAATTCTTCGCCATTACCTCTTCCAACAGCTCTGCAACCCTCTCAATGTTCTCTTCTTCCGGATCTTCTTCTTCGTCCCCTTCCCCTTCGCCCCTCCTCCTGTTACCAACACCTGTTCTTGATCCCACCCTCCACTTCCCTCCCACTTTCTTCCCTCGCCCTACCTCAACCCCTCGCCCTTTCCCTTTCCCTCCTCGCCCTTTCCCTCCCCCTGCTCGCCGCCGGTTAAGTGCAGCAAGCTTAGCCTTAGCAGCAAGGTGCAACTCATTAACGCGTACGTAGTGTCTCCTAAGAGCCTCGTAAGTTCGGAGAGTCTTTACCACGGCCAACGCCGCCTCGCCTTCTCCTCTGTAAGTCCCTTGCGTCCCATCATTGTTCTCCTCCCTTGCCTGCAACCCACCACCCAAATCTTCCTCCTCCTCCTCCTCCCTCTCCTCTTTCTCCTCTTCTTCCTCCTGTTCATCACCCCTCGCACCTTCCCCAACACCACCACCCGCACCCGCAGCGTCACATATCAATCCCGCCACGTTAGCTGGGCCCATTAGCTTGGGCTGCAATTTCTGCAGCAGCTGCCCGGCGTTCTCGTCGTGAAGCTGAATGGCGGCGCACGCGAGCTCAGCAGCCATGTTCGCGGGCAGGTCGGGCAGGGAAAAATCTTTCGGAAGCGGATTGGGAAGCCGGTAACCTATTAGAAGGAAAGGGTGGTAAGAAAGACTTAGTGAGGGTGACATATTTGGGTAGAGATTCGCGAGACAGCGACAGGAAAAACGAATTGCAGAAAATTTGAAGGCAGGGAAACGAGTCTGGAAGCGGGAGGGGGGGAGCAATTGAAGAAAGGAGAGGGCCGGCTGGCGAGGAGAGAACCGAGGAATTTTCAAGGGTGACAGCTCGTTACAAGAGTGTAATTACGGAACAACTTTGCTGGTTATAAAACAAGGAGGTGTAAAGAAGGTTCAATTCACCTCGTTTGAACACAACAGCTTTCTTGCGCACGTGAGAGCCCCGTAACGGCCTCGGCACCCTCGCCAGTGGCACCACGGCCTTCCCCGTAACTTCCGCAGGATTTTCATCATCATCCTCGTCGTTTCTTTGCGGCTCGTCCTGCGCGTGCGTGTCCAGCATCGCGTCAGCAAGGACCGAGTCCACGTCAGACGGCACCAGCGCCAGCGCGAGTGATGTTGGGGAAGCCACTGTCCCCGCTATGGTGGCACTCGCTGGAAGCAGATCGTGAGAGGAAAAAGACGCGTCGGCCATGTCGGATCGACTCGCAGCAGCCACCATGACTTCCGCGCTGCCCAATGATCCAAACTAGCGGTGTTACCACCGCGTTCACCAGTGACGGTTTTACAGACCGTGTTATCACCGCGATCAGCAGTGACGTTGTTCCACGACTTTACCGCACTGAACAAGAGGAATTAAGAACCAGGAAAGACGCGATAACTCCTTTCGTACTAAACGCAGTCACATAGCGACGCCTCCGTCCCGCCAGCCACAGGAGGAGACACCAGGGAACATCTCGAGGGATGGATTGAGCTAGAGAACGCGAGAGAGGCGGGTGCGCGCGACAAGAGTCACAGAATTCCACCACGCTACTTGGAAGGCGGTCGTTGTAGCTCAATTATGCAACTATGGCGGTTCTGGATGGAGCAACACGGTGCAGTCGAGGGAAACAGAATCACGTAGTGTGATGGGAAAGAAGCCTCGGCTGCAACGAATGGACAGAACAGCGTTGTTGGCGGTAAACTGACATGACAGTGAATGTTCAAGGGCAGCAGCAGCTTTGCTGATGGGTGGGATGGCATGACAGTGACTTCTGTTTCACTAACGAAGCAGTATCCTGAAAAGCTGACTCGAAGCTCGTGTCACCCCAGTGGCTACCGCCAACCGAACCAAACCGCTTGCTAACGCTTGGTAGTTCAGATTTTTCGCATATTTGGTTCTGCTTCGAACCATCTGAAGTCAGTCAAAATGCCTCCCACATCTCGGGCCCTGTTTGGCAGGCGCATGAGCAACTAGGCTCGGGAGTGAGCACTGGTTCGGGATGGTGTAACGTACCAAATTGTTAAGTCTGGGTTTCGTGTACAGTGACTTCACGCGGGGAACAGTCGCAGGCTCGGTGAAGGAAATTTGTCTGGGCTGCCCTGCTCGCTGGTCAGGGATAGAAAATTACAATAACCAATATCGAACCATCTTCCCTGACTGCCTACCAATGAGCAACCTATACAATCTTCAATGCTGCCCCGCATCACTCATGCGCGCATGGATGCTACCTCTCCACGACGCACCATGCGCGCATGAGTGGTGCGTCGGTTTGCCAGGGGAGGATGGTTCCAGGAACCAATATCGATTCCCAAACCTGTGACAAAAAACACCGTTCGGCAGTCACTCAAAATCATTTTGCCCAGGTGCTCATGCGCCTATCCCGGGGCTTGATAGCCGATCAACCGCTTAGCTCGGAAGTACCCCGATTGGTCATGCAAGTGTAGCCCATTTCCAAGCCTGTGCTCATGCGCCTGCCAAACAGGGCCTCGAGTATGACATTTGCGGGCATTCACCCGCCCAACCAGATTTCAGGAAATTTGAAGGTTCAAAATCTCGAATCATACTCGAATGGAGTAACAAGTTGGTACGTCTCGATAACCGTACAAGTCAGAAGCACTTAGATCTACCCTTATCATAGACAACCTTCTGTTTCCAAACGAATCATCCCATACCAACCAACCAAGGCTGTTGCATGTGGCTCAAGGCAAGTTGATAGCAGTAGATTCCTCATGGCCTGGTGTTTCTGCCAGTTCATCCAACACCAGTGGTCCCCTTATTCCCATTCACTACCAGCAACAGACGTGGAAAAGCAGGCAAAACTATGTAATGTAGGTAACCATTCGAGCAACAGCTGCTGCTAAAGAGTCCCTCTACCTATGCTAGTTTCAGGACGCACCCACTCACGCCATTTTCCTTCCCCAACAATCTCTCTTCTCTCCTAACCCACCAGCAACTCCTGCAAAGCACACCAGAATCTTCAGCACCAATCAACTTCCAACCAAATTCCAATCCGACCACACATCACTCCCCTGTTCACAGGCTCTACACAACACACACCAATCAAGCACGTCCCAAGAGATACCTACTACTACAAGTCTACGAGACCATCCCGTTCTACGAAATAGACCCATCCGGAAACGGATCCAAAGCAGCCTTGTTCCCATTCTCATAATAATCAATCAGCGCCACCAGCCTCGCCTCCTTCTCCGGGTGATAATTCACGTGCACGCTCACCGGCTTGAACCCCGCAAACCTACTTGTCTCCTTCCGCACCTGCTTGAACAGCACCTTGCTGTTCATAAACTTGAAATAATCCATGGCTCGCCGGGAAATGTGCAGCCCAGAAACCCCCGGCCGCGACGGGAACCACATCTCCTCGTTGTACACAGCCTGGTCCCACGCCTTTTCCGTCGCGAGGCGCATCGCAACGCGGTCCAGCAGCTCAATGGAAGCAGCCGTCGGGCGGATGTAAAACAGCCCCGAGTTGAACACGAATATGCGCATGGAGTGCGCGTATCGGCCCCATCCCAACACGGGATCATCCAACACGTCATCATACCCATACGCCGTCGCGTTGGTGAATCCATCCGTCATTCCTTCCACGTCGGAATCACGGTACAGGTGGTTCCCTTCAAACGGGTTCTGCAGGAAACCAATATCAATGTCCGAGAGCAGCACAGAGTATCCAAGAACGAGGAAATCCCGCAGAAGGTGGAATTTGGAGCTGGAGATCGCGTGGTTGTCCCCTCCGTCTTTCTGCGTGTCTGCAATCTTCGCCTCTTGCTGATACACCGGCACGCCGCGCGACTCGCACAGCTGCCGCGTCATATCATCCAAGGCCACCACGAGGTAGTTCTTGATCCCTGCGCGCTGAATCTGCGTGAACCACGTCTCGAGCATCGCACGGATGTTGATGTTCGAAATCCCGACTATCACTTCCTTGTTGATCGCGACCTTTTCTAAAACAGCGGCCAGCTGCGGGTTGACTGATGGGTCTGGGATGATCTCGGGGTTTTTAGACTGGCTGTGGACGGTCCCTCTTGGCCCGGCTTTGATTCTCACATTGGACCAGAAGGATTCTGCTGTGGGGATAGCATCGGCTGCTGTTCCTCCTGCACCTGTTGCGTCGTCGCCGGCGCCGGAAGCAGCGAGGAGCTTCTTGTCGAGGTCGGCTTTTTCTGTCTTGAGCTGGTGCATGCGGCGCTGGAGCGAGAGAACTTCTTCCCGTAGCCCCCGCAGCTCGCGCTCCTCTGGTGATACCGCCTGTTGGGGAAGAGGATGGGCGAGGACGGGCGAAATGAGAGAATTTCCTCCCTCAGTCCCCGCAGCTCTCGCTCCTCTGGTGATACCGCCTGTTGGGGAAGAGGATGGGCGAGGAGGGGCGAAATGAGAGAATTTCCTCCCTCAGTCCCCGCAGCTCTCGCTCCTCTGGTGATACCGCCTGTTGGGGGGGGGGGGAGAGAGGGGGGAGAGGAGCGGCGAGGAGGCAACTTCTGGATCGTCTCAAAAGATCTCGAAAGTCGGCACTGGAGCGAGAAGAATTCTTCCCGTAGTCCCCGCAGCTCACGCTCCTCTGGTGATACCGCCTGTTGGGGGGGGAGAGGGGGGAGGACGGGGGGAGGACGGGATGGGTGAGAATGGGACAGGAAGGGTGAGAATGGGACAGGAAGGGAGAGGATGGGAGAGGAAGGGAGAAAATGGGAAAGGAGGAGAGTGGAGAGGAGTGGAGCGGAGTGGGGATTGGGGTTGGGGGTGGGGAGGAGAGAGGGGTGCGGATGGTGTGGGATGGTGTGTACGGGCGCTAAAATTGACGCTGAGAGGCAAAACCTAAAAATTAGGGAGTTGAATACCGCTGATGCAGCCCGTACAACCAACTGGCAGGGCAGCAGAAGTGGACAAACCCGGTCAATATAGCTTGTTTGACGACTCACTGTGCTAGTTCCTAGTTCTTACCCAGATTACCTGCGACAGCGTCACCTCAACACAGCTCAGCTCAGCATGACTGTTTAGCTGGATCGCCATCAGAGCAGTTTGCTCAATAGCAAGCAGCTCACTTTCACAAGCCATCATGGAAGCGTGCCGTAGTACGTATTCCTACGCACATCATGCGAAGCCTTACCCCTTGCCTTCACTCCCGCAACCAGCGCGGCTAACAGCAACAGCAGCGCAACCAGCGCGGCTAACAGCAACAGCAGTGCAACCAGCGCGGCTAACAGCAGCACAACCAGCGCGGAGCCTAGCGAGAACAGTCAACACGGTTTCGTAACGCCGAAAGGATCCCCGCTGGATGCCCGCTAAAGCCAGTGGGGATCAGCGTTAAATGCCCCGCTGACCCCTTGAGTGAACTGCCACGTGGCAAGCAGAGCTCCCAGCGCGGCGCTTTTGATTTGGTTTTTGAAGAGCATTCAGAGTGGATGGATACCCGCTGGATCCCCGCTTACCCCTTGACTGAACTGCCACACGGCCAGCAGAGCACCCAGTGCCGCGCCTAGCGTGATCGCGATGCCGATCTTACGGTCCGTTAGGCCCTTGGATTGAGGGTCCTTCCTCATCGTCGCCCACTCCGTCGAAGATTTGAAACGAAATTGACGGAATCCGTCGAATGTTGAGACGCCTTGACGGATTTCCTTTGGGTAGCGGTTACAAGTGGCACGGGCACAATGGCAACCGTACCCTCGGATCACGCGGTATTTGCTAAGTTTGGAAACGCTTTGCTGGGAGTCGACGTTCTCAAATCCGTGCTCCTGATAAGACGGCGTTCAGAAAGAAAACATGTCTGTCAGTAAGGATAGACCGCCCTACTAGGGTCAACGGGGGTAATCTGAGTGGTGTACTGATCTGAGAGGCACTGGGGAACGGTTGGATGGAGTGATCGGCGGTACGAAGAAACAAAATGGAAAAAAATATTAATTTCTTTGCTATACAACTCAACTGACAAAAGATATTCCCAAAAGGGCTGATGCCTTCATGATGGAGGATTGATTCCCCCCACGACTCAAGGCATTCATGCCCCACCGCACAGGCTCGCTGTCATTCATATACGGTAAATGTCACCAACCAGTATGCAAAAGGCTATACTCTTCTCTTACCACTCATCAAAGGTAAAAGGCCATTATTTGTGTTAATTAGCTTGAAACATGGGGAGTGAAACAACAAACAATGTTAGGAAAATCGACAAAATAAGATCGTGTCCCCTAAAGTGTACATGGAATCCTGTGCAAAATACCCCGGGAGGAAGGGCACTGTCAATGCAAGCGCTTCAGCCCGCAGGCCGGATTTGTTTCTGCTTCTCCCAGGAGTTCACTGAAGCGACGTGCCCCAGCTAATCTTTGTCAGCCTTCCTCTGTCCAGTGCCAGTGACACTTGAGCTTTATCAGGAACAAAACTGTAGGGGTATGCCTACAAGTGGTCAACGGCCATTCAGCTGCTGCTGCTGCTGCTGTTGCAGAGAGACATGCTATATGAGCAGGTGAGGGAGTGGGGACAGCAGCAGCAAACAGAGTCATATCGACACACACAGTCAGCAATGGAAAGCCCGGTCAGGGGAGGTCGTCATCCCATACCTAAGAGAGATCATGAAAGGAAAGGGATCGCCAGGGGGAGGACGAGAGGAGGAGCAAGCAGTGTGAGGAGGAGAGGTGGACGGGGGAAGGACGAGAGGAGGAGCAAGCAGCGTGAGGAGGAGAAGGAAGGTCAGCAGAAACCCGCAAATGAACAAAGGAGAGGAGGGAGACACCGGCAGGATCCAGAAATTCCACCGCCCCTCCCCCCCCCTCCCCCCCAACAAGAGGGTTACAAAACCGCTGGCGGCACCACGGCCTGCGCACCAGCTGCTGCTGCTGCTGCTGCTGCAACTCCAGCCTGCGGCTCCAAATAATCCTCTTTATGGTTGAAAAACGTCGCCGCAAGAATGAGATACATGAGCACGAACATGAAGCCCTTGAGCCAATTCGCCGAGCCCTCATGCAGCGTGAGCACGGTGGCGAGGACGGTGATGAAGAGCGTGCAGGTCTCAAAGCGGTGGAAGTTGAGGTCCATGGGCACGTCGATGATCCACCCGCCGATCACGGCGAGCGGGATGAGAAACATGGCGAGCTGGATAGACGAGCCGACCGCGATGGAGAGGGACACGTCGAGCTTGTTGCGGATTCCGAAGAGGATTGCCGATGTGTGCTCTGGTGGAGTGGGGGAAAGTGGGGGAGGGAGGGGGAAGAGAAAGGGGTGGGTTGAGAGAGGTTGAGAGGGGTGGGAAGAGCTGGAGGGACGATGGAGAGGGAGACGTCTAGCTTGTCGCGGATGCCGAAGAGAATTGTCGATGTGTGCTCTGGTAGTGTTGGGGATGGGGGAGTGCGCAGGGGAAGGCAGGGAAAAAGGCAGGCGAAAGGGGTGGGTTGAGAGTGCTTGAGAGGTGTGGAATTGCTGGATGGACGATGGAGAGGAGAATGAGGGGAGAAGGAGCAAGTGGGGGAAGGGAAGGAGTTTTGAGGTGCCTCGAACCAAGCCTTCCTCTCTTTTCTTCCTTTCCGCCCGCCCTTTCGCCCCCCTCTCTCTCTTCTCACCTCTCGTTATCCCCTCTTCCCTCCCTCTTTCCCTCAACGGTCTCTTTTGTTAACGAGCGGCAGCACCACCACGCACAGCCCCGACTCGAGCCCGTCCCGTTCCTCCGCTCGTCCACTCGTCCCCTCGTCCTCCTCCCCACTCTCTTCCTCCCCACTTCCCTCACTCTAGCCATCCCCCCCGCCAGTCGACTCACCAGTCACGTTGTTAACGAGCGGCAGCACCACCACGCACAGCCCCGATACAGGCACGTTCCACTCCTCCGCAGCGCCATCCACGCTGTTCACCAAATAATCACTAATCACGCTAATCAACGCCGACACGAGTGCGAGCCAAAACACCCCGCCCCAGAACCCCAGCACCGAATGCTCCTCCTCCTCCTCCTCCGCCTCCTCCTCCTCCCCCTTCCGCGTCCCCGTCCGCGCCGCCGTCGCCGTCCGCGCCGCCCTCAAATAGGTCTTTATGCGTGAAGAGCTGGAAGTAGATGTAGGCGAAGTAGGCGACCAGCATGAGCACGGCGGCGAGGCGCGAGAGCGCGAGCTCCGAGTCGTTCTCGTGGAGCTCCGTGCCCGTCGCGTGGAGCAGGTTGGGGAATAGCAGACCGCTCATGGCGAGCATGAGCGCGCCTGCGGAAGACAAGGCGGGGGGGGGAGGGGGGGGGGGAGGGGGGGCGCATGGGCAGGACAGGAGGGGGGGAATGAGGAGGGGACGAGTCGTTCTCGTGGAGCTCCGTGCCCGTCGCGTGGAGCAGGTTCGGGAAGGGGGGCAAAGAGGTGAACGAGATAGGAGAATGGGGGGAAAGGAGGGGTTGAGGGGTGAGGACAATGGGAGATGGAGGAAATTAGGGGGCAATCGGACATTAATGAGAGATGAACGGAGAGGCTCAGATCGCATCGTGATTTAAAAACCGCGCGCGCGCGCGCCCAGAGCGCAGAAGACTGCGCGCCGGCGCGAGGACATTGTGTGCGGAAGCGCGGCTCGCCTGTAGAAGCGCGACACGTGGACCTCGTGTGTGTGTGTCCTCATAATTATTGCGTTCTTCTTGCGTGCCCTTTTCGTGCCACGTTCCCCCCTCACACCACTCACCGCAATTCATCTGTGCCGCGGGTTTGTTGAAGCGCAGGTTCCGGTGCACCATCCCGCCCGCCAGAAACGCGCTTCCGAGACACAGCAGCAGGTTTCCCAGAATGGACCCTAAAAGGGAGAGCTGTATAACGCGTACAAGCCCGCTCCGCAGCGCCACCATAACGATAATCAGCTCGGGCGCGTTACTGAACGTCGCGTTAAGAAGCCCTCCCAGAGTCGGGTTCGTACACAATGCAAGCTGCTCCGTTACAAAGCCGAGCCGCTCCGCAAGCGGGACTAGCGAGAGCAGGCTGAAAGTGAATATGACGTTAGAAGGTAAATTATGCGCCACGCAGAAAAAAGTCACGGGGACGAAGACCAGCAGGAGATTAATGCGCGACCCGAAGAATAAGGAGTAGAGGCTCGTGCGGAGGTATTTGGCCGCGCCGCCGCGCCGCCGCGAGTCCTGCGGCGCCGCCGCGACCTGACGTTGATTGACCGCTGACTGCGACCCGTCGTCGCGCGGCTCGGGCTGCTGGTCCGGCGGCATCGCGATCGGCTGATACTCCGGCGTGGTTTCCGCTACGAGCGCCCCCATTTCCGCCCACTCGACGCTGGTCAGCCGGTTAATCGGAACCGCGACGTCCCCGCCGTTGCCGCCGGAAGATACGGGGACATGGCGGTTGTCCTCGTCGTCTTCGCCGTGGTCTTGGTCGTATAGTAGGTGCTCCGAAGCCGCGTTGCTCGAAGCATTGCTTAGCACATTACTTAGACCGTTGCTAGATGCGTTGCTGAGGGTGTTGCTGATCGCAGCGGCAGGGACTGGTGGTTCTGGTCGGGCTGCGTGCGGCGGCGAGGAGGTGGGGAGAAGCGGCTCGTTGCTCATGGTGAGTGGTCCACGTGGCGGTCTGTGGAGTCAGAAGCAGCGCCCAGCCGAGACCGGCTTTGATTCGCAATCGGATTTTGAGGTGGAGATTGGTCACCAGGAAACAGCTGCCGCCATTTGCGGGCAAAACCGGGATGATGACAGGCTGCAGAATGGTACAAAGGGACGTTTTCGAGTCGACGTAGAGGTGGTATCAGGAGGCTGGAAATTGGGGCCTCTACGGATGAGTTTGATGTTATGCCGAAGGGGAGACAGGCGCAAAGTTATAGAGTTTAGCTGATTGGCGTTTCGGGAACGAAGGGAAGAGGTGCGGGAGCGGAAGCAGCGAGACAGGTTATGGTGCCCGGTCAGTGCTTATCATGTGAGGGGTTAGAGTTTCAGCGGGCCCATCTTCGAAGACTAGAACGCGGCGAGCTCGAGACCGACCAATTGTGGTCCGTCTTGAAACCAATTAACCGACTCCCGTGACTTTGGCAGTGGGAAAACGGCTGTCAGAGCTGCGATAACGAATACTGAGAGAGCTGATGGCGAGGAACGGGCAACGAGCTAGGGCCTACAATCAACGGGGTCAGGGGGACGTCGATAGTGGCGTAATAGTAGCCGTTCCGATTTGAGCCCGAAATGCAGTTTCTACGAAGGGACCCGACCCGTCGCGAGCGTTGTCCTCTAATCAGAGTACTACGAAGGCTAAGCAGCAGGCTTCGGTGTTTTTTTTTGCGGCTGAGAGTCTATCAACTGACGAAATCTCGGAGCACTCTCAATGTCTGAATGAAGTAGTGAATGGTGACAAAGAGAGAAGCCGTAAGTTGCAAGGACGCGTCAGCCGCACTAGCACAGGTAGGTTCAGCAAGGAATTGACGACTAACGAAATCGGCTCCACGGGCGCGCCGGTTTGCGAGCGCTAGCTTTTGTGAGGTGGGTGGGCGCGGCACCAGCGGCGGCGGCTCCACGCCGAGGCGCGGTGTGGGGAATGAACCTTGGGGCGGAAGCATGTGCTGGAAGGCTGTAGTTGCAGAGTGAGATTAGGGCGGAGGACCAGCGGCGTGCAGAAATACTCGACGGGTGGAGCATTTGATGTTCACATTTGCACGGGGCAACGTGGACGTGAAAGGTGCGCAGACAGCAACTGATGGGGGCTGAATGAATGGGCTGATGCGGGGGGAAGGGGAATCTGTCTGAATATGAGAAGCCAAATGAACGCGAGCGACTCTCATCTCATCTCATGCCCGACTAGGCACGCAACTCGCTCGCGGCTGTTCGGGGGAATGCTCGTCGCAACGGAAGCTGGAATAGTGGGCTTGGAGCAGAAAGGGGCAGTCTGGCGCAGATTGGCGCAAGCGAGAGACTGGCCGGCGCTTTCACGTCGGGCCGCCATTATTGCGCCACAGCCCTGGAGGCGGCGCGGGCAGAGGAGGTTGCTTGGTTCCTTGCCTGCGTGGGTTGACGCCGGTTTGGACCAATGAGGGAGCGGAGTTGGGAAGGTTGGTGGTGGCGGAGAATATTTCATGGACGGGCACCAGATTTTCACCGCGAGATAAGTGCTACACCTGACCATGACAAAGGAGTCAATAGGCGGCATCTCTGGTCCCAAAATCATAAAAGAAACTGAAAGGCCAACTTTTTTTTAGCTCACGGAAGAAAAACTACACGATGTCAACGCGCTGCGACGCGAGGAGAATTCAGTTCATCTTGACGTGCTGGGCTGGGCGAGATCAACTGCCTCCACCGACGGAATCTCCTCGGCCCTTGCGTCCCTCAAAGGGTAGCACCAATCATGAAGTAGGAGCCACGATGCAGCGAACAGAGACTCGTCCCGTTTCAATATAATTCATTTGGAGGCAGTACGCGAAGGACACCTTCAATATCAACATTGCGGTAGAATATGGCAAATGATAGCAACTAGATGGATCATTTGTACTGTGTACAGCAAACGAGGCAACTACATTTGAATACTAATCATGATGCCTCAGGAGTAACATACAAATAGAGAAGCGTCATCCACCAATCAGGACCCTTGAGCCAATCTTTGCCCAAACAGAGCGTTGCATTTAACCATACACCAAGGTGCGTATGCGCTTGAGCTCCTCGCAATTCGGCATGTGCATGGCCCGTGCTCTTTGGACCTGACCCCACTTGTAGAAGTGCGCCTGCTGCACACGCTCATTGTGACACATTGTCTCCACGCGCTCCCTGGAGAGGCGGGGAAAGAAAACAAGAAATTCATATTGGGGCAGGAAAACACAAGCCGCCGGACTGGAAGCTGGAAAGGCGGTGGGGAGGAAAAGGGAGTTTCCACACATACGAAGGGTAACCAATGAGGGGAACGGGAAGCGGAGAACGGGGAAGCGGATAACGAGTTGAGGAGAAACGTGGTACATATTCCAACCACCACAATCGTCTCACTCACCTGTGGTCAGCTTCTACACTGTTCTCTATTTTTATACGGTCTTTCGACCCCACAGGGTATGAAGTGCCAAAGTCTGGTTCAGTCTTCACAAAGTAGGACACTGAGAGCATCCTGCACACACAAGACAGAACCGCACCAAGAAAGGTGAGAGGAGGGGGAAGGTGGGGCACACACGACACACACTTTGAGTGATCACCATCCTCAGAGCACACGCCTCAGAAGCAGAGGCCTCAAATTCAAACCCAGGCGTCTAAAACCCAAAACTCACCTGCTGAGACCTTTGCGAATTCTCCAAAGATTCGCACACCTCGTCACATGCAGCTCTGTTTTTTTGTGAATTCTAGAAAAAAAAAAAAAAACTGATTCTCAAAAAATTCGCTCACCTGGTGACCTGTTGCTCTGAATAAACATCGTCTCTGCGTAGCCGGTACAGCGGATCGGGTGAGGGAAGGAGGTTGTAGGCGAGGAAGAGGATGATGGGCAGCAGCTGCATGAGGAATATGGGGTTCACCGTCACGCCGCCCTGCCCCTCCTGCTGCTGCTGCCGCCGGTGCTGCTGCTGGTGCCGCTGGTGCATCCTCTGCTGGTGCATGTGCGCTCTGAAGGCTTGCGCTGGGGAGGGGTGGGGGAGGGAACGGGGAGCAGGAAAGAGAGAAGGAAGAATGGATGGGGTTTTTGAGTGCTGCTGCTGCTGCTGCTGCTGCTGCTGGTGCATCCCCTGCTGGTGCATCCCCTGCTGGTGCATCCCCTGCTGGTGCATCCCCTGCTGGTGCATGTGTGCTGCTTGCGCTGGGGAGGGGTGGGGGAGGGAATGGGGGAGCAGGAAAGAGAGAATGGAAGATGAATGGAGTTTTTGCGCGCCGGTGCTGCTGCTGGTGCATCCTCTGCTGGTGAATGTGCGCTCCGAAGGGTTGGGTTGGGAGGGAGAGAGGGTGAGAAAGAGGGAGCAGGAGTTATGGTTGGGAGGGGGAGGGAGGAAGGGGAGGGGCGGGGGGAAGGAGCGAGGAGTGAGAACCCAGCCCACCCTAGCCCAGCCCCTCCCTGCCATACCATATGCGAGATGCACGCCGAAGAGCGCATCAAAGAGGAGCTGTTCGGGTCAAATTCATCATTGTCGTCAAACAAGCAAGTAAGGACCAAACCAAGCCCCGAACGACGATGTACATGCAGGGCAATTCTCCCCCAGCCCCAAGCCCCTTCACGCATGCAGGCACCTATCAGTGACCAGTCCCCTCCCTTACCATGTGCAGGATGCACGCCAAAGAAAGAGTTGAAGATATCATTCGGATCAAAGTCATCATCGTCGAAGAAAGACGTGTACATGCGCGGGCCGCCGCCAAACCCTCCTGCGTATGCCTGCCGCTGCCGCTGCTGCTGGCGCTGCCGCAGCAGGTGCTGCGGGTCCTCATGGCCGTAGCGGTCGTAGTTGGCCCGGAGGTCCGCGTCTGTCAGACACTTGAAAGCGCGGGATACCACTGAAAGAGGGGGGAGGAGTGGGGTAGGAGCAGCAGGGGAGAAGATGTGGTGAGCAAACTGCCTTCCTGAGGAGAGACGTTCACACAAGCAGAAGCTGCCGCAGCAGGTGCTGCGGGTCCTCATGGCCGTAGCGGTCGTAGTTGGCCCGGAGGTCCGCGTCTGTCAGACACTTGAAGGCACGGGATACCACTTGGGGGAGGGGGACGAGGAGGGGAGTAGAGGGGGAAGAGGGGGGATAGGGATAGGGAGGGGGAGGAGCGGGGCAGGAGCAGCAGGGGAGGAGATGAGGTGAGCAGACTGCCTTCCTAAGGGAAGACGTGCACACAAGCAGAAGCAGCCGCAGCAGGTGCTGCGGGTCCTCATGGCCGTAGCGGTCGTTGTTGGCCCGGAGGTCCGCGTCTGTCAGACACTTGAAGGCGCGCGATACCACTGAGGGAGGGGGATGGGCAGGGGGAGGGAGGGGGGGGAGGGAAGAAGGACACGGGACAGGAGATGGGGTGACGAAACAATTTTCCTCAAGATAAGAGGTTCACAGCAGCAGCAGCAGCAGCAGCAGCAGGTGGTGCTGCTGGCGCTACCGCAGCAGGTGCTGCGGGTCCTCGTGACCGTAGCAGTCGTAGTTGGCCCGGAGGTCCGCGTCTGTGAGACACTTGAAGGCGCGCGATACCACTGGGGGGGGGGGGAATGGCCAGGGGGGGGAAAGGGGGACGGAGAGGGGCAGGAGGGGGCATAGGGAGGGGGAGGAGCAGGGTGGGAGCAGCAGGGGAGGAGATGTGGTGAGCAGAGTGCCTTCCTGAGGAAAGACATTCACATGCGCAGCAGCAGCGGCAGCCGCAGCAGCAGCAGCAGGTGCTGCGGGTCCTCATGGCCGTAGCGGTCGTAGTTGGCCCTCAGATCCGCGTCTGTCAGACACTTGAAGGCGCGCGATACCACTGGTGAAGGAGGGAGGGGTTGGGAGGAGGGGCGTCGAAGAGGGGAGAAGGAGGGGGCAGGAGGGAAGAGGGAGGAAAGAGGGGGAAAAGTTGGGGAAAGGACGCGCAAGGGAGGAGACGGGAAGGGAGGTGGGGCACGGAAACAGTTTCCCGTGAGGAAAGGCGTTTCTATGAAAAGAAGCCGCAGCAGCAGCAGCAGCAGCAAGTGCTGAGCTGAGGGTGCTCGTGGCTGTAAATGGCTCAGAGGTCCGAGTCTGTGAGTCTGTGAGACACTTGACGTAATGTCATGGGTTGAATACACAGCAGTACATTAATTGGTTTGAAGACATGTCATGTCGAGGCACAACAAAGCAACAGAGTCAGCTCTAACCAGCGGATGTGTCAGGACATGTTAGTATTGGGGATGGGGATGGGGATGTGTCAGGTCTAACCAGCGGCCTAGACTCGATACCAGCCGATGAGACTTCATTGCCATCCTTATCCCCATCCCCCATATCCCCATCCCCCACATCCCCATCCCCCACATCCCCATCCCCCACATCCCCATCCCCCACATCCCCATCCCCCACATCCCCATCCCCCACATCCCCATCCCCCACATCCCCATCCCCCACATCCCCATCCCCCACATCCCCATCCCCCACATCCCCATCCCCCACATCCCCATCCCCCACATCCCCATCCCCCACATCCCCATCCCCCACATCCCCATCCCCCACATCCCCATCCCCCACATCCCCATCCCCCACATCCCCATCCCGCACATCCCCATCCCCACTCCATCCCTGCCCATGTCTATTGGACACCCTTCCAGCTTACAAGCTGAAAAAAGTCATGACATTCCGGTCACCTTTAAACGCCTCATTCGTCTTCCCATGCCCACTCCCATAACAAACACCCCTCACCTTTGAACGCCTCCTCTGCGCCCTTGGCCTTGTTCTTGTCTGGATGCACTTTCAGCGACAGCTGCGTGCATGGGAACAGGGAAGAGAGAGAGGGAGCGGGAGCGTTACGGAGAGTGGGAGGGGGGGGAACGTGGGGGAACGTAGAGGAGTAAGTGAGGGCTGGGATTGTGAACGCCTCCTCTGCGCCCTTGGCCTTGTTCTTGTCTGGATGCACTTTCAGTGACAGCTGCGGGCACGGGGAACAGGGAAGAGTGCGCAGGGGACAGGCGGGAGGGTTGTGGGAGGGCCCGAGGGTAGTGGTGGGGGAAGGTTGTGGGGGGAGGGGGGGAGAGGAGTCAGAACTAGCCTTTATTTGTTGCTTCAATCTTTTAGCAACAACAACTCAAAGGCGAAGGTCGAAGAGCAACCAGTGATACGGGCCCCCCATCCTTCCATTCCCCTCCTCCTTCCTTTCCCCCCTCCCCCTTTCTCTCCCACCTTTCCCTCCATCCTCGCTTCTCCTCCACCGGCGTCCCCCTTTAGTTAGCTTCAGCACCTCCAATCACAACTTTAACACTCTCTCCCCTTCCACCTTTCCTCTCTCTCTGTTGCAATTACTTTTGAAAACTCTTGAAAGTGATTTCTGCCTTTCCACCTTTCCCCTCTCCCTGCCTTTCCTCCCCTCCCCCCCCACCCCCCCCCCCTTGCCCACCTTTTCCTCTTTCTCAAGCCGCCCCCCCCCCCCAAACCAACACCCTTACCCCCTTCCCTCCCCGCCCCCCCCCCCTTGTCATGTCCTCTTCCCCCCCTGACCTTGCGGTAGGCCTTCTTGACGTCCTCCTCCGGCGCCCCCTTGGGCAGCTCCAGCACCTCGTAGTAGCATGATGTGCGCAGGATGCGCGCCACCAGCTGCACCTGCTCCGCCGTTGCAGGAGTTCCTTCCCCCTGCTGCGCGCAGGTAAGAGAGGGAGAGGAGTGGGGAGGGGGGGGGGGGGGGAATCTGAGGCAGCTCCAGCACCTCGTAGTAGCATGACGTGCGCAGGATGCGCGCCACCAGCTGCACCTGCTCCGCCGACGCGGGCGCGTCCTCGCCCTGCTGCGCGCAGGGAAGGGTACCAGAGGGGGAGGACGGGGGAAAGGGGGGGGCGGAGAGCGACGGAGAGGAAGGGGAACGTGGAAGGAAGGAAGGGGGGAGGAGGGGACAGGGGGAGGGGGAGAGGAGAGGGAGGAGGGGGAACAAGGGGGAAAGAAGGGGGGAGGGTCTGAGGCAGCTCCAGCACCTCGTAGTAGCATGATGTGCGCAGGATGCGCGCCACCAGCTGCACCTGCTCCGCCGACGCGGGCGCGCCCTCCCCCTGCTGCGTGCGCGCACACGCGCGTTTGTAGAACGGGGGCGGGAGGATAAAGCGGCGGGAGAGAACAAGGGGGGCGGGAGGATGAGGGGCGGGAGAAAGAGGGGCGGTGGGAGAGGGAGACGAAGAGGGCAGGGCAGAGTCATTGAGAGGTCTCCCGTTTTACCAAGGATCTACAGACAAACGGGCGAACCCCAACAACAATCACATGAACCGAGGCAAATACCACAAGAACAGAACAACACAGCTATAAGCCCTTGGAGAGGACCCTCCCTCCCCACACTCCCTCTCCTCCTCACATTCTTCCTCTCTCTTGCCCCTCTTTCACCTCCCACCTCCCCCCATCTCACCTCCCACTTCCCCCCCCTCTCCCCTCCCACTCAACCCACTCTCGCTTCACACTTCCCCCCCTCTAGCCTCCCACCTCCACCCATCAACCACTCCCACCTCTGACTCTCTCGAGCCCTGTCCTCTGCTCCTTTGTCTCGTCCCCGATCCATCCGCTCCCCCCTGCTCCCCCCCCGCTCTGCTGCTCGGCCCCGCTCCCGCCGACTCGCGCCTTCCCCCTTCTCCCGCGCCCTCCGCGTTTCGGGCAGCGCCCGCGCCGGCCGCTGCCCCGCCCGCGCCCTCCGCCTGCCCCGCTTTTTCCGCCTGAGAGCTTGCCACTTGCGCTAGCAGCGACGCGACCTGCAGAGAACGCGGAGGGGAAACGGAAGGGGGGAAGGAGGGGGCGGAAGAAGGGTGGGGGGGACGATAGGCCGGAGAAAGGGGGGAAATGGGGAGAAGAGGGCGAGAGTGGAAAGGGTGTGGGGCGTGGAATCGAAGAAAAGAAGGATAGTCATTGCAGGGTTTTTATTTGGACAAATAAAAGCCCTGGAAAGGAAAGAGACCGGGATATGAGTGCGCCAAGAAAAACCAAAACGAAATCCAAGATGCGAGACGCGAGATGCGAACTCGAAAGAATTGTCCGCAGGAAGAGAGAGGGAGCGGGTGAATGAGGGAGAGGGGAATTCGGGCAGATGGGAGGAGAGAGTGGGAAAGAAGAGGAGCAACGGTCAACAGCTTCGGCAAACCCAGATCCAAATCCAATCCAAGTTGAAGGAATCTCATCCCTTGTATAGAACAGAAAGAAAGGAAGAAAAAAGAAAACCAAGTTATCCCTGTGAATCCCCGCCTTTCTTCTACGTTCCCGGCTAATGCCTCACCTCTGGGGAGGGGTAGAGTCGCTGAGCCTTCTGTAAGAATCTGAGCGCCCTCTCTTTATCGCCAGCAGCTAGCGCAGCTTATTGAGTCGACTCAGAAGTTACCTCACCTCCGGCGAGGGGTAGAGGCGCTGAGCCTTCTGTAGAAATCTGAGCGCCCTCTCTTTATCGCCGGCCGCTAGCGCAGCTCGCGCCACCTCCACGCACCGCTCCCCCGCTTCCCTGTTGCCGTCCATCGCGCCGGCGTTTGCCGTTTCCCGTAGCGTTGCCACAGGCGGAGCGGGATCGGAAGGGAGCTAGCGCGTAGCCTGCAGAACTCGCGCGTTACCCCTGCTGGTAAGGCTGCTGCCTGCCCTGCCCCTGTTGCTCCTGCTGCTGACGCTGACGTCTTGCTGACGCTACAGCTGAAGTTCAGGCTGTTTGGATGGTGGGATCGGCTTACACAAGCGGCCGCGGTCACTTCTTGGATCTACTAAAAGAAAATTTCTCCGTGTGAGTGGCGCGATCTGATTGCACCTGTCCCTATGGCTGGGACTTCGCAAGACAAAGGACCCCGAGGGCCGGACCAATAGCCGCACTGACGGCAACTGGGGACGCAGAGAGAAGCAGAAGCAGGAGGAGGAGAAGAAGGAGGTGAAGCAGAATCGATTTGGTGAAAGAGAGAGAGAAAGGAGCGTGATGACAGACCCAAAGGGAAGGCTGGTAAGGCATTAGATTCGAGCACGATGGAAGGGTACGAAACGATCTGTTGGCGAAATTGGCGAGATTCGCGCGAGCTTGGCTTATGGAATAAGATCGGGGTCAAATAGACGGACAGAGCGCGTACGAGAAAGGAAGAGCAGACGACACACAGGGAGAGAGGGAAGGACGAGGAGGACGAGGAGGAGGAGGAGGAGGAGGAGGAGGAGGAGGAGGAGGAGGAGGAGGAGGAGGAGGAGGAGGAGGAGGAGGAGGAGGAGGAGGAGGAGGAGGAGGAGGAGGAGGAGGAGGAGGAGGAGGAGGAGGAAGGTTGGAAGGGGGGAGGGGGAGGAGGGAAGAGGGAGGGGAGGGATGGTGTGGTGGGGTAAGGAGAAAGGTATGGTTGGCAGGAGAAGAGAATAAGACAGCAAGAGAATAAGACGGGAGAGGAGGAAGACGGAGGAAATCTACCTTAAGATTGGGAAACGCCACGTGTCAAAATCGTATACGCAACGCTGCAAATCCAGTAAATCGCAATTTCAGCAAATCCTCGGAAGCGTATTCTATTCCACAATGAACTTCTCGTTTCAATGTAGTCTGTAGCCTGTAACCTGTATTTTAACAAGACTGATGATCCTCCAATCAGCACAGTCCCTGCTGCTCTGCAAGCCCCCTAAAGAGCCGACGGATCGCGACGCGACACTAAGAAGGACGAGAAGTCCGTTCAGGGCTGACGAGAAAACTGCTGACGAACCGGATGGATCCACGTAGAACAGCACAACAGCACCTTCGCAAACAGCTGCAGTTATACCGGAAAACTACGTGGTGACTTTTGAGTCGACTCAAAAGTAACCTGGAAAACTACGCCTCGTACGCCGCGGTGAATTTCCTACCGTGATTAACAAAAGACAAGGACCCGCGATTAGTACATCAGCGGCGGTGAGGAGCAGACGGATCCGTGCTCTTCGCCTCACGAGCAGAGATCTTCAGGGTCGTCTCGACTCAAGTGAGCGACCTCGCTTGATCCCCATCACACACCACCAGATGAGCGGGCTTTCAGCAAACAATCACCAGTGTGCCTGTTCGGTAGCGAGGGTGACCCATGCGAGTGTGCGGTGACGCACTCAGCAGCACGATGGGGCCGTTCGCCAGCGCCGGTATATCCAAAAACCACGGGATAACGACAGGATCAGGAAGGTGGGTCTCGCCTTCCTGATCCCGTCAGTTAGAGTTCGTTAACCTCCGTCAGCTTGGTCAGCCCGTGAAAAAAGTGCCGAGCCTCACCTACCGTCCAAACCAACAAACAAAGTGGGCGTCTGGCGAACGCCCACTTTTCTCCACTCCACCAAAACTAACAGTTCGACGGCAACTGGAAGCGGGGACTAAAATTCGTCCCCAGGCAAAATGCCATCCCCTAGCCATGCCATCGGTGCTGTTCGCCAGCAAATCGAAATTTGAAATGAAAAAGATGGCATCGGCATCGCGACCGCATATGGAAACGGAGGTGGAACCCACCTCTTAGGTTTGGCCGTAATGCCGCTCAAGGAACTTCTGCCCCTGCGGTTGAGAAATTTCGCAACTGCGTCGGGAACCTCCATCCCCACCTTCCCCCCGATCCCTTTTGAACGGCAATGCGACGGCTGTGCCATCGCTGTGCTTCTAAAAACGCGGCATGGCGATGGCATGGCTAGGGGATGGTGTTTTGCCTGGGGACGAAGTTTCGTCCCCGCTTCCATATGCCGTCGAAGCGTTAGATTTGGTGGACAAAAGTGGGCGTTCGCCAGACGCCCACTTTGTTTGTTGGTTTGGACGGTAGGTGAGGCTCGGCACTTTTTTCACGGGCTGACCAGGCTGACGGAGGTTAACGAACTCTAACTGACGGGATCAGGAAGGCGAGACCCACCTTCCTGATCCCGTCGTTATCCCGTGGTTTTTTTTCTATAATGGTGCTGGCGAACAGCCCCATCGTAATGCCGGTTAAAAAACCTCAGCGGACAAGCGAGGCCGTCCGGATGAGCTCGCTGCCCGCGGGCAAAAAAAATAAACCCCAGACGGGCATGCATCCGGTCAGGGAGCCTCAACCCTAAAACACGGGGAGGCATGGATTTAGGGTTGAGGCTCCCTCGGATGGCATGCCATCCGATGGGGGTTTAGTTTTTTTTTTCTGCCCGGGGCAGCATGTCGTCAAGTCGTCAGAGGGTCGTCAGGCTTGACGACCCGTTTCCGCTGAGATTTTCCGCGTTTTTCAAAGCACAGCGGTGGCACAGCCGACGCATTGCTGTTCAGAGGGGAACCCTTGAACAAGCCTGCAGTAAAAAGGGAGGTTCATATACCCCCCATTTTTCCCTCCCAAACACACCTTCTAAATGCCCCCCGCAATAACTTGCGGGTTGTGTTTTATTTGCGTTTTTTACCCACGTTGAGCAACTTTTGATCAGCGGGCAGCACAAGGGTCAGTGAAGAGCAAATTTCGCGCCATTGGGGGGAAGGTGGGGATGGACCTTCCCGATGCGGTTGCGAAATTTCGCCTTTCGGGTGAGCGTAGTTTCTCGGACGGCATTTCGCCCAAACCTCGGAGGAGGGTTCCGCCCCCGTTTCCATATGCGGTCGCGATGCTGATGCCATCGTTTTCTGTTGAAGAAACGATTTGCTGGTGAACAGCACCGATGATGAGTGGAATGGTGGTGAGAGGCCTCGTTCTGTGGGCGCATTAGGGCGTGTAACATTGTAGCGACCAAGGCCAAAATCCGACCATTTGGTCGGCTCATGAGAATGCGGAGGGGGTAACACGATGGCGATGAATGCGAGAAATTCTGAGAAAACGACCGCATAAACGACTTAGTCGGGAATCGCCCCAGGTGAAAACCCATACGTGCGACCAAATTGGGCACGAAAACCGCCCTGCCGTGAACAGCATAGGGTCGCAACATGTTTGGTAACCTTCCGTGATGTGCACGACTGTTTTCGCACCGAAACCTGGTGACTCCCCATAGTGTCGAGAACAATTTCTAGAAGCAATCCTAAACCCAAAAACCTTGAATCGACCACAAAACAACCGTAGTCATTGTGAATTTACCACATACGCCCCATGAGTTTGTTACCACAACCCTCTCGAGTCGGCTGCAAGGACCAAAATGGTCGGATATTGGCCTCGGTTGCAACAATGTTACATGCCCTTAGGCGTGCTCAGCCCTGACGACGAATATTCTATGAACCCTCGTGATAAGGCTTAAAGCCCATATCAAGCCTCACAACTCGCTCTCGTGTCCCGAACCTGGGTATCGTTCTGTTGCCGCATTCATGGTGCTTGGGCCCTCTAAAGAATATTTTGGGAAGGCGCTTGGCAGAGCTTAAAGCCCACGTCGAGCCTCTCAACTCGTTTTTGTGGACCGAACCTAGTAGCATTTCTTGTGCGCCCAATGGTTCAATAACGCATCAACACTGGTGCGTTCGGACCTTACTGGGAAATTTCTGCTACGGGCAAACTGGAGGCACCGCTCGTGCGAGCCCTACCCGCCCATCCGAGGTAGAATTAGGGGACGCACAAGCAATGATGGGCAGATCTGAACGCCCGATTTTGGGAAAATTTACGATGAGATTGTCAGAGGTCCACTGGAGATCCCCGATTGATCCTAGGGAAGGGTTACAGGCATGTCGGCCTGGGGGGTTATGGGCGCACTCACCCGCTACACAAACAAGCCATTTTATCCCAGTGGTTAGTGGCTGAGATTCTGACATGGTATCAGAGCGAAGGTCTTGGGTTTAAATCTCGGTGTATGCACCTCGGGCATCCCAGTGCGGGGGGGTGTCAGAGGTCCACTGGAGATCCCCGATTGATCCTAGGGAAGGGTTACAGGCATGTCGGCCTGGGGGGTTATGGGCGCACTCACCCACTACACAAACAAGCCCTTTTATTCCAGTGGTTAGTGGCTGGGATTCTGACAGAGATAACTCACTGCAAAAACATACCAAACGAGAGGCAAGGGTGAACCCAAAGGTTGAAAATTTGTCAGTGGTTGGGATGACACATCTTGAGCATCCTGGGCAGACTGGGCATGGTGAACGGAAAAAAAAGGGCTGTTGGCAAAACCGTTTTGTCTTTAGCAGCAAACTTCGCCGAGGCCGCGAGAGGGTTGACCCCTTTGAGGAAAACCCATCCCGCAGTGCTTGTGCAGAAGGACCGGACTGCTCATGCGCAAACAGAACGATACCCTGGTAGCCGAACGGGGAATAGCTCGTACGCACAGAGGTTTCTACGAAGCCTCTCTCTCGGGCAAAATTATTAGACAGCTCGTGCAAACCCCATGCCCCCATCTTCCTGGGAGAGAGGGCGTGTGTGATTTTGCCGAACCTGACAAAGTTCGAACTCAAACCGCTTTGCACCATGACAAAACTCTTCTAATTGTATCCTTCCGTGATGAACCATTATAAAAGTTCGATCTTTCAGTCAGGTTCGGCAAAATCACACGCGCCCTAAGGGGACGCACAAACAGTAACGGGGCAGTTATCAAGACCCGTTATTGGGACATATGGATATGGATTTACTCAAAACTAAATTATGGTACGTTCCTCGCTCGTGTCAAGCTTCGGGCCTTCCCCGGAAGACCCGAAGCTTTGGTTTGAACTTCCTGTCAATGTTTTCTGGGGTATTTTTCGGCCGGAAGACCCGAAGTTGGTCTCGGATGACCCAAAGTGGGTCCAACTGTCAAACATAATAGTATAGGGGCCTAGGGTTTGACCTAGGCAAGAGTGACGAGAGGAAAATGTGCAAGGCAAAAGAGGGGTTCAATAGTAGAGGGCATACAAGATATAGGCAAGGAATTAGGCAAGTGGTACACCACCTAGCAGGAAACCAAGATAACTACACTAGGTACTGTAGGCATTTATATGAATGTATACAAATACATTTCAACACCAACTTCTGGTCATCCGCGGATGTAGCAGTGGCTGCAGAAGCAGTAGCGCAAAGGGGCAGGGCGACTGCAGAGGCAACAACATCGGTAATTGCAGTGGCTGCTGTAGCGGCAGCTGTAACAGCGGCTGACGTGGCGGCTGTAGCAGTGGTTGCCGCGGAGGTAGCACGAAGGGGGAGGGCGGTGCGAATGCAAAGGGCAGGGCGGCGCGAAGCAGGGCTCTCGCTAGGTTTTAGGCCCGTCTGGAAACCCTAACAAAAAAAATCGTTTCGTCTGACGCTTAGACGGGAAAATTTCGCTGGTCTGTTTTTCCAGATGAAAGTTCATGGCATGTCTGAAATTTCATACGGATTTTTTTTCCACATCTGATGTGGCAACTTGCAACTTCATGACGCAGCAGCGCGTTAGCTAAACACTACCAGGCAGAGAGGTGAGGGACGAGGAGGGGCTGGGTTACGAGGGAATTGGCTTGGAGT